TGCTGGGAATGAAACTGAGAAACAAGAAGTGGAACACCCAAAAGTGTCTCTTATGGATAATATTGCCTTTGAAAGCCTACTACGTGTTAAACGGACCGGAGAACATATGCACTTTGGAGGCATAATTGGTCTCTTTGGAAAAGTGAAGTGGGTCTGTGAACAGACTAGGTCACGAAAAGGGATGATGGCAAATGACGGCCCCTCACCCCCCCCCCCCCCCCCCCCCCCCACTTTTATAAACCATCATAATCACACGAACTCCGGTCATCCTCGCAGCAGCGGCGCCATCAATCAAAGACGGCGGTCACCGCATCGCGAGCTTTCAGGTGCGCTTCCGCGGCCGTCTGGAACGTTCTTCCTTCCGATATTAGGAAGCCGCTGGAGCGATGCACTTTTAAATCATCATCTAGATTGAAAATTAGTTTTTCTTTATAACTCCTCTTTGTGTTAAGTCTGTTGTCCTTCCCCCGCACCTCCGATTAGCGCGTTTGGCTACGTACGGTGCGAAATAATTTCAACGTACAGACATATACACTGCTCCCGATTATTACCGCTACCGCTGTAGGGCAGCGAGCTCAGATGCCCTAATTCCTTCACTAATGTTGAGGCTGATTACGCCCACGCTTGATATACGTTATATGTTGTTTTTGCCCTTCATTTTGAATTCCCACTATTTCTGGGTTATTTAATGATGAAAAAAAATGCTTGCAAAACTTAAACTTAACTAGGGAGTTGCAACCAAAGTAGGGAACGTGCTCTAGTGGACGTTCGACATGGAGACGGAGCAATGCAGGGACTAGATGGATTGTTGCTTTACGAGATCATGAGTGATGGTGGCTCTTTGGGAAGGCCTTCACCCAGTGGTGGATAGATCATGGCTCACGATGATTAAAAAAACTCCCCTTCTTTAATTATTTTCGTAGTAAACCTAAGTAAACAAACACCACAATAACGATGGCAATTCTCGGAACGTTGGCATGTAATTACATGAATCTTATAAAGGATAATTAGACAAGTACTCTATGTACTAATTGGAAAAGACAATCAATGAAATTGTTCAAAGGGAGTCCTGTGGGATGAAGGTGGTGGGGAGGTGGTTGGGTTGAGGATGCGCTGAGCGGAGGCCCCGGGTAGGAGAGTTTCGTAGACTGGATGGTGTAGCTGGCCGCCTCTAGAACTGATCACTGTGACAGTTCCTGAGGATAACTAAATAAAAAATGATGCCATTTATTTACTCGAGAAAGCCCCCTTCTGAGACTCCCACGATTTTCCTTTTCAGCAGAATCCAGCCATTGGGATGTTTGGTCAGTTCTATTTGAGTGTTTGGATTCGTGTGGGAGCAAACCGGGGTGGCTCCGGAGGAAATCCACCTCACTCTACAGTGAGGGAAAAAAGTATTTGATCCCCTGCTGATTTTGTACGTTTGCCACTGACAAAGAAATGATCGGTCTATAATTTTAATGGTAGGTTTATTTGAACAGTGAGAGACAGAATAATAACAACAAAATCCAGAAAAACGCATGTCAAAAATTTTATAAATTGATTTGCATTTTAATGAGGGAAATAAGTATTTGACCCCCTCTCAATCAGAAAGATTTCTGGCTCCAAGGTGTCTTTCATACAGGTAACGAGCTGAGATTAGGAGCACACTCTTAAAGGGAGTGCTCTTAATCTCAGCTTGTTACCTGTATAATAGACACCTGTCTACAGAAGCAATCAATCAATCAGATTCCAAACTCTCCACCATGGCCAAGACCAAAGAGCTCTCCAAGGATATTAGGGACAAGATTGTAGACCTACACAAGGCTGGAATGGGCTACAAGACCATTGCCAAGCAGCTTTGTGAGAAGGTGACAACAGTTGGTGCGATTATTCACAAATGGAAAAAACACAAAAGAACTGTCAATCTCCCTCGGCCTGGGGCTCCATGCAAGATCTCACCTCATAGAGTTGCAATGATCATGAGAACGGTGAGGAATCAGCCCAGAACTACACGGGAGGATCTTGTCAATGATATCAAGGCAGCTGGGACTATAGTCACCAAGAAAACAATTGGTAACACACTACGCCGTGAAGGACTGAAATCCTGCAGCGCCCGCAAGGTCCCCCTGCTCAAGAAAGCACATATACATGCCTGTCTGAAGTTTGCCAATGACCATCTGAATGATTCAGAGGACAACTGGGTGAAAATGTTGTGGTCAGATGAGACCAAAATGGAGCTCTTTGGCATCAACTCAACTCGCCGTGTTTGGAGGAGGAGGAATGCTGCCTATGACCCCAAGAACACCATCCCCACCGTCAAACATGGAGGTGGAAACATTATGCTTTAGGGGTGTTTTTCTGCTAAGGGAACAGGACAACTTCACCGCATCAAAGGGACGATGGACGGGGCCATGTACCGTCAAATCTTGGGTGAGAACCTCCTTCCCTCAGCCAGGGCATTGAAAATGGGTCGTGGATGGGTATTCTAGCATGACAATGACCCAAAACACACGGCCAAGGCAACAAAAGAGTGGCCAAAGAAGAAGCACATTAAGGTCCTGGAGTGGCCTAGCCAGTCACCAGACCTTAATCCCATAGAAAATCTGTGGAGGGAGCTGAAGGTTCGAGTTGCCAAACGTCAGCCTCGAAATCTTAATGACTTGGAGAAGATCTGCAAAGAGGAGTGGGACAAAATCCCTCCTGAGATGTGTGCAAACCTGGTGGCCAACTACAAGAAACGTCTGACCTCTGTGATTGCCAACAAGGGTTTTGCCATCAAGTACTAAGTCATGTTTTGCAGAGGGGTCAAATACTTATTTCCCTCATTAAAATGCAAATCAATTGATAACATTTTTGACATGCGTTTTTCTGGATTTTTTTGTTGTTATTCTGTCTCTCACTGTTCAAATAAACCTACCATTAAAATTATAGACTGATCATTTCTTTGTCAGTGGGCAAACGTACAAAATCAGCAGGGGATCAAATACTTTTTTTCCCTCGTTGTATACGAGGGAGAGACACTCAGCACTGCCATTTCCTGGTCACCAGACACAAAGATCCTCAGTATAGCCTCAACAGACTGTTGGGGCAAGTGCTGTTAGCCATCACCTATGAAGGCCGTCATGGCACACGAGGGGATGGGTGACCAGCACCGCGCCCGACCGCTTTTGTCTCCCCTAGTGGCGATGTTTACATTTGGCACGGGGTACTCAGGTGATGCTGAGTCGACCTAATGGAGGCCTAGGACCGAATCAGATAACCTCCACTGGTGTTGGCTGTGAGTGAGAATCGAACTCGGGTCACCGGGTTCGTAGCGTAGCGCGCTAACCGCTGCACTTCCGCTCCCCAGTGATCATCAATGTTCGGCAGGAGGGAGCATCATTGCTAGCAATGTTTCCCAATTCATTAAAAACATTTTTTTAAATTACTAACTTGGTTAATTTCACGCATAGGCTTTCGCGACCAATATTATGAGTCATAATTGAGTTTTGGGTCAGATCGCGTATGTAAAATGCGTTGTGTCTTACACCCTCCTCCACCCGACAGGGCCAACTATAATCAAATTGTCCCGTGAACAAACGTGGCCAATTTGTTCCTTCTTCAACAGCACCACCGCTTCGTTGGAGCATCGTCCACACACATTTAACAATTGGGTGGTACAACGTTTCACTTCTAGTTGCAACCAGCATTATGAGACAGAAATCCGATTTGTAGAAACGCCTGCCTCCAAACTGGTGTTGAAAACGAGCAGAAAACACTTTTTAAAAATTGCTCTTTTAAAAAATGATACGCATTGTACCAAATGAACAACCCACGGTGTTTGAAATGGGGCCCTCACCCTTGCCTCTCCAACATAGACCATCTGTTCATTCTGCCCACCTCATTTTCCCCATCGACTTCAAAGGTGCAGCCTCCAGCAGCAGCAGCAGCCTTGGACGGTGCCGAGTGGAGGACGCAGGGGGGACCAGGAGAGCTTTGAGGCTCAGCGTAATGAGGTTCGTGCCGTGACGGCACGAACCCAGAAACGAGAAGGCATTTGCATCGGAGTGTTCGGTGGGCTGGCGTCTTCCGCTCTCCCGAGTACTGCATACGATTTTCATTTAGTATTTTTTTTCAGATACAGTTTTAATTGAATATTAATTAGATACGTGTGTGTGTGGATTATGTATGAATATATCGGAATAGTTTTGTAGAAAAAATATTTGTCATGGGTTTATGTTAAATTGAATAAATTGAGATTATCCTTTATTGGTCATAAGTTCACCTTCTTGGTTCTTTGGGTAAAGTCACCACGTAGAATGAGAATAAAACAATAAAACAAAATAAGACAATAAAATTCTCACGACGTTTCGGCCACAACACAAGTAGCCTTCTTCAACAACAACATCATCATCATCACCGTCATCCCGACAGTTCTGTTCCTTCACCTGAAGAAGGCTACTTGTGTTGTGGCCGAAACGTCGTGAGGATTTTGTCGTCTTATTTTGTTTTATTGTTTTATTTTCATTCTACCTGGTGACTTTACCGAAAGAACCAAAGAAGATGAATCCTTGCAGTCACGAAAGCTTTAAATCGAAATTTTGGTCGTAAGTTCATCTTCTTGCTCACATGAGCACCCAGGGCAGTGTTCCGTCTCCTCTTTACAGCCTTGAGACAGGAGTGACAATTCCACGTTCCTAGGGCAGGGGAGAGTCTATTTGATAGGACTGCCACTGTTGACTTCCCCACGAAGTGATACTCATATGTTCGATCCCCAGAGGGATGATGAGCCGAGTCAACCCTCACAGCCGGGAATTAAAGTTGCAACCCTTCGATTGCAAGCCTCTCCCTCTGCCGCCGTAGCCACCTGGCCTGACACTGTCACGATGACGGAGTTATCTCCCCAGGGCAATCATCAACAACATCATCATCATCACCGGCGTAATCACCGCCACTCCTACGGTAGCAACGCGACAGCGGGGGTGATAGTTCCATTGCAGCCCGATTCACCGTGATGCCGACAATGACGCAGAACTCACCGCTCAAGTAAAGGTGAGTGAGTCTCGGTCAGCCTCTCGTGGTCACTGTGCTTTGCCGAGAACAGAGACGTCACATCCTTCCAGCCCTTGAGCCTGGCCCCCTGAACCTATGAGGAGATAAACACACAGGCGCTCACAAAATACAACGGCACACCTGGTGTAGCCTTTCATAGGTCACGAGGGGGCGAGTGCTATTAGTGAGCATGGGTCAAGATCTGCACGGTGCACCGCGAAGAGGATGGTGTGACGAGCGTGGCCCTTGCCGATGTTTCGAGTCAACGTAGGGAAGTCCTCGGACCGGTTCTGACATCTCACTCGCCGTTGATGGTTAGGTCTCCGGGTTTGTCGCGCGGCACGCTAACGACTGTGCCATCACTGCCTCGTACGTGGGCGGCGAGGGTTCCGTTCCCGACTTTCGAATGAATCCGGAAAATCCGGAAACCGAACCTCGGCACGGAATCTCGGAAAGATCCGTGTCGGTCCCGGATTAGCCCAAAAACATGACCACCCGAAGTGAAATAACGTGGCCTTTTGGGTGATGTAACTCTTGTTGTGACCGGGAAGATGTTTTAAATGATAGAACGATCAGAAAATCACAAAGGGATATGAAAGAGTCTTTGGTTCTTTCGGTAAAGTCACGTAGGTAAAAAATTAAATTAAATTAAAATGTATTTTCTCGCCGTGATTTTCACACCTGATGATGATTGCTTGTGTTGCAATCGAAACGTCGTGATTTAATGTACTTTTATTTATTTTTTATTTTTATTTTTATCTCTTATTTTAATTTTATGTTTTACCTACGTGACTTTACCGAAATAACCAAAGAGTATGGATCCTTGCAGTCACGAAAACTTCAAATCTAGAATAGATATGAAATAGGCCTTAAAAATCCCCCCCCCCCAAAAAAAATGTTTATCTGAAAAATGTAGGCACATGCAGGCAGAATCCGGAGTCGCAAAACAAAGCAAGCCCATGCTGTTAAAAGCGTTTTAAAGCTGCTCTGTACCTCCATTGAACATCTTTCTCCCACCAAATGACATTGCCTAAAGACCTTGCGTGATATTTTGTCTTCTTCTTCTTGGCTAAGGTGCCAAATGGAAAACAGAGACATGATATATCATTTAATGATATATAATTTTGATGGGGGTTTGTATCGAAAGTGACTTATTTAGGCAAAAATTGCCAAACCGTGTGAATATTCAGACACATCCCATAAACACATGATCTCCTTTTAAACAACGTGTGCTACTTGCGAGAGATTTATACCAACTGCCAAGATGTTATTTTGCCTACGCAAGGGGAAAACATGCAATAAACGATTATCCAGCGTTATGAGCCGTGCTTTAATGTAACGAGGCATGCATAAATCATGTCGGTGTTGTGGCAGTCAGCCGTTTTGTAATCCGTTATTAGGGAATAGTTTACTTTTGAAAGGGTCAAGGAGGATGTAATCAAACAAAAAAATGGACAGTCATCGCAGCAGCAGCAGCAAAAAAAAATGGGGTCATCAGCTGCCTTGCCATTTGATGTTTTCGGATGTTACGCGCACCGTGATGCACGCTCATCTCATCTGACGCTTCCAACTGGTGATATGCCGTCGTTGGCTAAGGGGTCTCTGCTGCAAAGAATTGAAATGGGGTCTGCTCCGTGTCAAATCTCTCCTCTCCCTCTCATCTATGGCCCGGCGCCCGCGCTCCCTCTCGCCCGCACAGTTGCACCGCACAGTCGACGATGCTTCGCCGCACGCTTCGCATTAATGTAGGTACGTTGGACTTCTTTCGCACCGTACGTAGCCAACCGTGCTAATCGTAGGTGCATTCGTTGTGTGTTGCACAACGGCAACCTAAGCGCGCCGATTACGTCTCTACAAATCGCAGCGTTGCCTCCGTCATGCACGGACGGAATGAGACAATTTATGCGCACCCGATGAATGTGCAGCGCATTGGAATTTTTCATTGCTCCTTCGTTTTGGCATTTATTTTGTGCCGGGGAGAGTGCGCCGAGCGCGTGACGGATAGTCGAGCCCTGTGCTTATCGCCGACTTGTTGTGGCAGTAGCTCGGCTCGACTAAGCAAAGCCAGAGCCAAGGCTCGCTCCAATTACCGCGCCGAGGCCACGTTGATCTGAAGCGCAAAAAAAAACCTTTTCACAGCAACACACCCTGAACTTTATCTGCAAAACAAAGAAAATCCCATATTGCCCGCTCGCCTGCACGCCGAGGTCCGATGCTGCCGGCGGGGGGCGGGGGGCGGTGCGGCGGGGGGGGGGGCGAATGGAGGAGCGGTGGTACGGGGTTGAGGTCGACTCTACTGAGCTGCCCGTTCCCTGCCTGATCAGTAAAGCTCTCCCGCAGTGAGCATCTAAATCACTGGCGCGGCAGCACGCAGTGGCACGGGCTGTCCCGGGTGCGTGCCATGGAATCAATGAATCGCAGCTGCCTTTATTCAGGGCGGTCTTCCCGAATGAATAAAACAAACATCAGTCATAAATTTGCTGCACTTTATTGTAATCTGTATCAATAAAGATTTTTTTGTTATATACATGCACGTGCGTATGCGCGTAGTCACACATATGTCTGAATGGGTACAGGTACTGTTGGAAAGATGATGTACATGTGGAATACTGTCCTGTATATGAGCAGTGATAGCGACGTGGTTCAGGAACTGCAATTTGAACCGAGTTAGATTCCTGGCCACGGCTAACATCAGTGTCGAGAGATATCTGAGACTGTCCTGGGCCCTCCCTTCAGTCACACATTGACCGGTGTGGCAAAGTATGGTAAAAAAAAACCCATGATGGACCACCTGGACCATGAGAGATGATGAGAGCTTGATCAGCCTTCTTTTAACAGTGGATACATTTTGGCTATTGATAATGATAAGTGTGTGATGCATGCTAGTGCTGAAAGATATCCCAAAGGGTTCCATCATTGCTTATGATAATTATCAGAAATGTTTGTTTGTGCAAATAATTTAAATTCTTTGCAATTACGCAACATCTCCTCTGCAACTCCATCTCTCGTCTCTTGCATGTTTCACAGATAAATATTCCGCGATTAACCGTGCATTCCTCAGCCTGTGGGATGGAAATGTTGAAACATTTTCACTTTATTTAATTTGGCCACCGGTCGCAACACGTTGCATAAAAAAAAAAAAACTCCCCAGCAGCGTCCTGTGCCCGATCGCGCTAGCATCGTTCGCAGTTCAGAGGGCGGACTCCTGAGTCGTCCTCCTTCGTTGGCACGGCTGCTGATGCGGATGCAGACCGACAACTACAATGTCACATTCAGGCGATCAAGCCAGACAACCGCGTCAGGAGCAGCGGAGTTTATCGCCGTGATGTCTCCTTCGTATTTGTGGATCGGGGTATTGCGCCGTTACGTGTTGTACCGTCTGTTCCGGATGACCACAGTCGCACACTGCTACTGGAGAGTTTTTGATGCTCGATTTGTGCATCAGGTTTCCGCATATTGCCATGGCTTGTGCAGTGGATGCGGTTTAGGGTGGACCATGAGCTTCGTGGAAGATCAAAAACAGGGATCTCTTGAGTGACACAACATTCGGGTGGGTGGGGGGGGTGCCCGAGTGAGTTGTCTAATTGAGAGTGGGGTGGTGTGACAGCATGAGTAACTGATGGACATGCAGGACCATAACCGAGAGGACTGGGGCGGTGGCAATCTGACCCAGGCTTTAAATCCGGGGGGGGGGGGGCTCAGAGAGGTACAAAAAGGGGGGGCCTCCAAAAGCCTTTTGGCGGCCGTTTCTGCAAGTGGAGGGTGATGAGTGACTTGGGGGAATGAGACGGGGCCGCCCGTGAGATACGCGGAGGGTGAATGAGGCTCCAAAGCCGCTGGACTTTGACGGCTTTGTGTGTGGCTGTGTGTGGGCTCTGCTGAACCTGAATGAGATTATTAATTTCGGTCACTTATCATTTTGACTATTTTGCGTATCTTATTTTTTTGGGAGGGGGGGGGGTCTCTATTGAAGTCAGAGCCCACTGTAGTCACAGAAAATATTGTGCCAACCCCAATAGGATTTTATGGTTAACCGAGGAAAGAGGCCTTAGGAAAACATGTTTTTATTTGCCACTGGGCTGGCCAAAAAGTCTTACACATGTTGATAATAATAAGTTACCCGATAGAAACATTTACAGTATTAACAGGGTGGGGGGGGGATGATGAACAAGGCAGATCGCATTGTGACAAACACAGCTGCTTTGGAATGTAAATGTGATGATGCTCACGGTACGTGTGTTACATGCAGTATTATTTCTGTATCACTATTTTGCACGAGCAAGACAGATTTTAAATTGGGGCATTTGAAACTGAGTGTTATATTCACAGATTTTGAATATGCAATGCCATAACCTTTATATTTACACAAAGACAAGATACCCCGTGTAGCCTCAGCAGACAGTTGTGGCAAGTGCTGTTAGCGAGCACCTATAAAGGCCTGCACGGCACACGAGGGGGTGGGTGGCCAATACCACGCCTGACCGCCTTTGTCTCCCCAGTGGGGATGTTTACACACCCCACCAGGTACTCATTTGAGGCTGATTGGACCAAGGGGAAGCCCAGGACCGGTTCAGATAATTGTCACTGGTGTTGGCCGTGAGCAGGACACGCACACAAAGCCCTCTGTCAATCCACTGCTGGATGAAGGCCTCCCCACACCGTGTCGGTGGTCATAGATGTCATGTGACCATACTTCACCACGCACCTCAGTGCGGGTTGGTGAAGGGGCAGCCCAGGACGGGTTCGGTCATCACTCGCCACTGACGTTAGCCATTACTGGGAAGGTTAATTTAGGTTAACGTTAACAGTCGTAATGATTCCCTTGTATGAATGTGCTTCCAGTACAGCAGTGCACGTGTCTGTGCACCCGTGGCCTTGTTACGTGCAGTTGAGGGATTGAATGCCCCAATTTAAATCGCCCCACCCCACGTAGTTAGTATTTAACAGTTTAACAGCATTGCGAGGAGGAACAGCAGCAGTGTTGGTGCAATCTTTCCCTTGGTTAACGTGGCACAAAAGAAAAATACGTCGTTAATAGCTTGAGACAAGGGGAAAGGGGGGGCCTCTGAATTACATCGCATTAACATAACTTTA